GAGCTGGTGTGTCACTTACAGGGGGGTTTTTCACTTACGGGGGGGTGTGTCACTTACGGGGGGGCGTGTCACTTACGGGGGCTCCCAGGCTGTGGCCCAGTTCATGGGCCAGGGTGAGCTGCACATGCCAAGGAGTGAGGTAGCGGCCATAATTCTGCAGGGTGATCAGACCCGTGTTCAGAGTGGTCATCGCGCCATCTTGCATTTTCGTGGCCTGTGAGCAAATTCCTCCCACGTTTCCTACAACGGGTAGACCAAAGATCATTGCTGGAGAAACATACATCAGTTACTAAAATTCATTGTTGTCAGTCATTCTTAGTATAGGCTAGCATGCATCCTTACTGCCCCAACATGCAATGTGAATGGATGGAATTACGGGCATCAGTGAGTGTTTAAGAAGCACCACAGATGATCATGCTGCTGGAGGCTCTGAGAGTGACTCTGAACGGAGAAGCTGACGTGTGTCACTGTGCGCTGGACTGTGTTCAGCTGTACAGCCAGACGGTTCCCTTCAGACTGGTCAGCACACAGTCATCAGCTGCTCTCTGAGGGAGGCCTTTGCTCAAGTTTCAGGTTTCCTGGCCTCCCCAGTGAGGTCGAGTGACTGGTGTGAGCTGGAGCAGTAATCTATATCCTGCATGTTGATCTATAAGGCCACTCAGTGTATGACTCCATGCATCACATATAGGAAGCTGACAATATAAGATGCCTTGACTTTGACTTTCTTTTATATGACTTGAACAATGATTGGAACAATGATTGGAGAACTTTATATTTCTTACATAATGAAGCACTTTTATCTACCTTTGTAAGTGCAAAGGAATTCAGGACAGAGGTCAGCTAAATTCATCACTAAGGAATCTTATTTCAGCGGCACGTTGTGTATTGTGTAAGGCCTGGAGCTGCTTGCCACATGGGTTCTGTGTCTTTAGACACCTGACAATTGGCCTCTAAGGGCCAAGACCACATCCTGTCACTGTGCAGAATCCCTTCCCACCACTGGCAACGAACAGTGAGGTTTTTGAATCTTACATGCATCGACTTTATCATCAGTACGTCGCTATTATCTTGGTTTCAGTGTTTCTAGTATCTTTGCCCATTATTACATATACATATGCATTATAACATATGCATTATAACGATTGCCTATTATTACATATACATACGCATTATAACATATACATTATGAAATATACATTATAATGATTGCCCACATACACAGCTTGTGATGCTGGTCAGTGTCTAAGTGTTTTGTTTGGAAATTCTGGTAGTGTGAGAAAGAATTTTCCATCTTTAGGCCGCCAAGCCATAACAGCTGTGTGATTTAAATTAAACTGCTCCTGTCATGCCCCGCTCGTCCGCTCCTCCCGTGTGCCACCCCCCTCATCTACCTCGTGTGGAATCCCTGTGTTACCAGCTGTTTCTCGTTGTTGTTGATTAGTCCAGTGTATTTAACTCCGCGTTAAAGTATGTTTCCCCAGTCCGGTCATTAACGTCCGTCCTTTTATGGTGTATCGTGTTCCTTGCCGTTTCTTAATGAAATCCCTCATTCACCCGATTTCCCGGCTCCCGTGCTGCTTCACCGCCCCGTGCCCGAGCGTGAGCAGGACAGTTCCTTATGTTCACTTTCAATAAACATGCGACTGCACATTGTCACTGCGACTCAAAAAAAAAAAGAACAAGAAAAAAAATTATGATTTGAAAATAATAAAGTGAGTTCCAAAGAGAGGGGTATTTAATGAAAAGTTGTGCTTTTAACTCAAACATTAAGTTTAGCGTGCAACAGTAGCTTGTGGGTACGCCCTGGATTTTAAAGAGAGAGCAGAATAATAACTGTTCCCCTTTTCCTGCGGAGAGGCCCAGCCTTGTTTATATTCCAGCATGACCAGCAATTGCTGTTTCCCAGCTGTGATGGTATGTTTAATCACAAGGGCAGCTATGGATCCCCCTTCACAAAGAGGGTCCTGTCCAAGGGCTCGCATACTAGGAATTATTTGCATTGCCGCACATTATGCCCTAAGTCAAAGGAATGTTAAACAGGAAGCATGTTCCTGAACATTTCAGTCTGTTATTGCTATGCATGTATGTATGTTTAGTGACTATCAGAGCATTAGTTATGCCCTAGATTATAGCATCTGTCAGAATTAGATAATAGTGTGCTTTTGCATTTCTGTGTGCACAGGAATCACAATACCATAACATAATCCTTCACCATGGTAACTTGCACTGTGCTAGTGAGTTTTGGAATGTAGGGCGGTACTCCCAGTGCATTGCCCCACCCCCGTCACATCAGCAGACTCACACCCCTCAGATTATCCAATCATTTGCAGTTCAGCATCCAATGAGATGGCAGCATGCAAGTGGCTCAGAGTTGTGCTAGAACAGCCCCCCCCCTCCCCCCCAGAGGAAATATCAGCGGCACAGAGGAGACTTTGTGACCAGCCCTGGGAAGTTTGATTGGCATTAACCTGGGAAGTTTGATTGGCATTAACCTGGGAAGTTTGATTGGCATTAACCTGGGAAGTTTGATTGGCATTAACCTACGAAGGGATCACACATTGTCAATTCTTCCTCCTGCAACACAATGCCAGCATTTTGTACATAGTGAGGAAATCCTGAAAGACCTTGGAATGAAACGTTCAGGTAGTGTGTGGATCGATTGCACAGAAATACAAAAACTAGCAAGACCCATTTTTCATGGGAACCAGTTGTGGTTCTTCATATTTTGCATCAAACACTTAAAATGTTCAGGCATCCCTTATGGCCGATGATTCCTTGCTCATACAACCAACTTCAAACCCTGCCCACGGAGTCACTGGTTTCTATAAAACACGTGCTTCTAAATGAACCTCGTACCACAGCAAACATCCCATAGGGCAGGACGACTTTGACGGCCGAGTCCAAGGGGAACTTTCACTATATTCATGGAATACAGTTTGCATTCTAGCAAATAGCAAACTGTGTTATAATTACTATGCAGCATCATTAAAGATGTATAAAGAAATTAAGTCCATCAGTTTAAGTAGTTATTAGGTTCAATTTTAAAATATAGCTAATATAAAATGATAATATTAAAATGCTCTCAAATATAGCTAAAGTAATCAAACAAACCCTGTCTGAGTTACTGTTAACTGTTGTGCATTTTATCGATCTTTAAAATAAATCTCCAGATGCTGTTTTCCCACCCTCTCCATAACTGATTATATTAAACCCCCCCAGGAATGTAGTTCAAAGCAGATGGAAATCCTGAGTGATTCTATTCATGTACAGTCTAGACTCTGTAACAATGTCACACCTCATATTTAAGAATAGAGAAGACAAAACAAGCCTCTCTATAAGACAATGTGTGACATCTGATGTGTAAGAGCCCATGGAAGCTTTACTTACACAAAGATGTTCTGAGGGAAAAATGATTGGTTCAGAGAGATAAACAATCAGACTGTAGAGAAGGCTGGCCCAAGTATTGAGAGGAGGTGGGTGCAACCAATCAGATATCTTGTTTGGACCCACCTCCTCTTCAATCTGATTGGTGATCTCTCTTAACCAATTATTTTTCCTTCTGCCCTCAGAACATTTTTGTGTAAGTAAAACTCCCATGGGCTCTTACACATCAGATGTCACACATTGTCTTATAGAGAGGCTTGTTTGGTCTTCTCTATTCTTAAATATGAGATGTGACATTGTTACATTGTTACATAACTCAAACTGCAGTCGGACAGCATGCTGCCGTGACGATGGGCGAGCCTCACCCGGCCTCCCCTCCCAGGCCAGTCCCAGCACCCCGCTATAGTCACGGTCAGTCAGCAGGTAGGACAGGCAGTAGTTCCCCCAGGTCATTTCTGAGAAAAGGCTCAGGAGCCTCTCTGGGCCAATAAAGCGCTGGGAGATCGCGCTGGAGGCATCTTCCTCAGTGAGGACCTGAAGGAAAGATCACTCTGTGAAGCAGAACTACACCTAAACATGCATGGTAAACACCTGTGTGGACAGGAAAAAAATGTGTTCTTACAGAAAAATCATTGTGAGAGTTCACAGGATAGACAAAAAAATCAATAAACTGTGGCCAGTTAAACTGTACTTGTACTCAAATAACATATAAACATTATTACTTGTCATAGTCATGGCTGGATGTCAGTGAAAGACTGTCCGTTCCTTACGCTAAGGGATTTCACTTTGAAGTTTATCAGTCGGATGCCGTCAAAGTCTGCCTTGTTGTAGATATCGTTCACCGCACTCATGTAGGAAGCGATCTGGGAGACCAAAGCAGAGCATCAGCGGGAAGTCAAAGAGTGAATAGCTGACAGCATCACGTAGGCGAGAGTTTGCACAATGAAGCCCGGGGGAAAGGTTCAGGCTAACAGGCATGCGGTAGGCAAAAGGCAGCAGGCTCAAGTGAAGGTTCACGGATCAAGTTCAAGTTCAAGTTACTTCATTGGTACCCGGAGGTAAATTTTGTTTGCAGTACAGAGTCCACACATCACTCATTATACCACAATACGAGGTCTATCCCTAACAATAAACAGTAAAAACACTACTATCAGTAACAAATAATAGATAGATAGATAGATAGATAGATAGATAGATAGATAGATAGATAATAAAATAATAACATATGATAAAAGAACTCTAGGCTAAGCAGAACCAGGCCACTTATAAATATATTTGCTAAACTTGCACTGCAGTTTATTTTGAATTTGTTTTATAATACTGAAGAAAAGTATTTCAAAACTTGACTAGCAGGTATAAATTGGAATCCCATCCACAGTGTCCCCTGGGAGCCAGTACTGGGATAGGTTCCCGGCTCACTGGGAGCCAGTACCGGGATAGGTTTTTCAGATAACCTTTAGGTCAGCTGTTCAAACCCAAGTGTGAGTACTCTTTAGCCAATCAGTCCTCTAATTATTAATCTAACTATGGAGTTGAAAAAATCTGCATACACAGCGGCCCTTTCTGGATAAGATTACCCACCCCTGCAGTAAAGTATCCATTTTAACTGACTCACACTGGTTCTTTTCTGGGACTTCACTGTTGCTTCTGTTCTCTCCCTAAGATGAATTGGCAACAGATATTAATGCAATTTTAATTCCAATCACAATTATTGTACATGAAAACCTAAGACATGCAGCAGGTGAGTCGAATAGGTCTGAGTTTTCTGCAGCTCCAGGGTGACTCTCTATAGAGGTGTCCTGCTCTGAGACACCATCCACACTTTCACAACCAGCTCTTCTGCAACTGGAGTCATTCCTTCTAAATCGCAGTCGGGTGTTCAGTCCCGTAGCCGCTGGCCCAGTGTTAGTTGGCTAAGGTTCAGCCAAAATCCTACACTAAAGAGACAGCGGCCCGTGTGCAACATCCAGGCTCTGAGGTTGACCAGCTCTGCAATCAGGGGGAAAGATCAGCTGGTGACACAATGCCTGACTGGGAGAGAGTCTGGGCTGAGAGGGACCCCCCCAGCCAGAGCCGTCAGGGGGGAGTGCGGACTCTCACGGCTGCCAAGCCGCTACAGGCCAGTGCCAGCTGGGCAGAGTCAGAGCTTCTGGGGCACTGAGCTAGAAGCAGAGGAACTTGCTGACAAGAAGGGCACAGTGAAGACCGGCAAGCAGGCCTGTCACCTGTCATCTGGATGCAAACCCAACCGCAAGTTAATCCAGACCCAGCCAATGATGCACCTACTATATCAATACGGTTAATATGAAACGGCTTAATGTGGGGTCCATCTATCCACTCTCTGTAACCGCTTATCCTATTGAGGGCTGGGGGGGGGATTGGGTCTGGCAAAAGGCAGGGAATAACCCAGGATGGGGCACCAGACATTCACACTTATAGGCAATTTGGCAACTCCAGTTAACCTCAGCATGTTGTTGGACTGGGGGAACCAGAGTACCTGGAGGAAACCTGCGGAGAACATGCGGAAGCACAGGCTGACTGACACGAGCCCAGAGTGAGGGGACCACAGCAGTCAGAGAGCCCAGAGTGAGGGGACCACAGCAGTCAGAGAGCCCAGAGTGAGGGGACCACAGCAGTCAGAGAGCCCAGAGTGAGGGGACCACAGCAGTCAGCTCCACAGCACCTACGCGAGAGACGGGCGTATTTTAACAGCCACGACGGTCAGGCAGCATTGCAGCAGCTGTAACAACACTGCCGCAGGAAAGACGTCCTGACCCCCTCCATCCATCTTACACGACCACTAAGATTTTTTAGGCTTTATTTCATCTGCGCGTTGTGGAGCTCAGCTTTGAGGAGCACATGTTAAGGGCTGGTGTAATTCGCCCAGATCCTTCCAAGCTTATGCTTCACCCACTTAGCTCTTTTAGATCTAAATTCCCTGGATCAGCAACTGCTTTTGTTGTCATATTTCAGGTTTAACACACTGGAACAGCATGGAGTTTCCAATAAAAGCTTCATAAAGATGGAATTATAGAAGCATTTCCATGACAAAGGGACAATTTGACAGTGAACATAACGGAAAAACAGGCTGCTTTAGCTTGTCATTTGTCGACATGAACATTCCAGGACTCTTTATGGTGTGAGATTGTGGATGAACATTACTCACACATGGCTATTAGAAAGCATCAAAAAGCGTGCAAACTCAATTAATGAATTATTTGATTTAATATGACTTTATATTCATTTTCAAAAAATATTGAATGCAAAGTTCATTGCATTCATTGCTATATTATTGATAATGTAAACTGTCAACTCAATTCATCTCTGAATGATTCAGCACACATTTGGTCCAACCATCCTTCTAGCATATTTGCATATGCATTTGCCTGGTGAGGACGAACCTATGATGAGCTTCGCACAAAGCTAGACACACGCTGGACACGTGCTGGACACACGCTGGACACACGCTGGACACACGCAGGACACACGCTGGACACACGCAGGACACACGCTGGACACACGCAGGACACACGCTGGACACACGCTGGGTATGCTAATCCCTCACAGCTACACCCTGAACTGGGACCTGCTAGATACTGACATTCAGCAGTCCTGTATTTCTTGGCACTCATGCCTGTCTCAGTTTCTTCATCCATCCTTCTCCTACTAGCCACTTATCCTGCGTCAGGTCACAGGGGACTGGAGCAGCGCAGGGCAACAAGCTGGGCTACGCCCGGGACAGCAAGCCGACCTTTCGCAAGGCACACAGACACACAGACACAGACACACACGCACACACAGACACACACGCAGACACACACGCGCACACACAGACACACACACACACACAGACACACACACACACACACACACCCACACACATAAAAACACACACACCGACACACACACACCCACACGCACACACACACACACACACACAGACACACGCACACACACACACCGACACACACGCACAGACACACACGCACATACAGACACACACACACACACACACCCACAC